GCTGCTTCCACACCCACGATGGGGGAGTTTGTTGTAAACCCCCTCCTCACATTCCTGAATCCCTCCCCCTCCCCCACCGTCTTCACTGAGCCCTCTAATTCAAATGAAGATTCTTGGGAACCTGATCCCTGAAAGCTCATCTGTCTCCATAACAAGGAGTTATGAGTTCTGGGTCCTCATTTCCCCGAACCTATTCTGCCGTCCAGGCAGATGCAGGAACTCAGACACACAGGGTCCACAGGCTGGACCCTTCACAACCGCCACCAGGTGGGGACGGTTCCCAGAAGCTCCTGCATTAATTTTATTGGTGGCCTCCTGAAAATCAGGCTTTGGAAGGATGAGATTCTGACTTGAGGGCAGATCTACAGAGACTTTTTTTTTTTTTTGGAGTTTGCTGGAGGGCACACTGGTGTAGTACAGGAGCTACTGGGGGCCAAGCTGCTGACTTCTAGGGTGAGGGAGCGTGGAGAACATAGAACATGGGGGGAGGGGTCACGACTGCATGGACTGTAGCATGATGGGGCCAGGTGATGGCTTAATTGATAAAACGTTTGCCTTACAAGCACGCGGACCTGAGTTTGGTCCCTAGAACTCCTACTTAAAATCAAAACACCTGGCACAGTGGCACACACTTGAAATCTCAACTCTGAGAAGTCAGAGCCAGCATGTCCCTGAGGCCAGCCAGCCTCCTCGGTGTGTTCCACATATGTGAGAGACCCCGTCTTTAAAGAATATGGTGGATGAGGGCTGGCAAGAGGGCTCAGCCGTTAAAATTAGACTCACAACCGAACTATCAAAATGGTGGATGAGGCCTGAGGAATGACGTCTGAGGTTGCCCTCTGGCCTTCAAATACACACAATTACACACACAAAGAAAATGCACACACACACACAATCAAACCAAAACAAAAGTCTCCCAAAACCCAAAGAAGTGCCAAAAGAGCAGGACTTGCAGACCTAGTAATTGTCACTAACCAGCTCTGGGATCCGAGAGGACTCTCTGGGGGGGTCTTAAATTCCTTGTGCACGAAGAACGTCTTCAGTCTATTCCCAGAACCTGTGCTCAGAGCTCGGTGCTGAGGCCTTTGGCTTACCCTTCTATTCCGTTTGTTGTAGAACACACAGACACGGAATGTGGCCTATGTGCCTTCATCCAGTTTTTGGTATAAAGCTCTCGGGTGTCAAGTGGATCCAGTGCCATGTGGTTGTCACCGCAATCTGCCTCCCCAACTTTTCATCTTGCCAAAGTGAAAGTCTGTCCCCATGAATGGTAACCCCACATGTCCCCTCCCTTCTAGCTCCCCACAGCCTCTTGTAAACTATGGCTTGTGGCTGCATGGTCATGTGACCAAGTGTGGGGTTGCAGAAAGATTTGACGACAGTAAAAGTTTTCTGAATGTACAGTTGCCAAAAGCTAACTCAAAATCAAAGGCATCGTGATTTTGAGATATCTGACAGTGTTCCCATGAGTTGCCTTGGACTTCACTGCAGTCTCGGTTGTGCAAAAGTGCACACACATGCACACACAAACACTTTGCATCGTGCATGCCGTGCATGCTGCACAACACCCACGAACTCTGCCTGTTGCTCCTCTGCGCAGATTTGAAACTAGTGAATGCTAGCATTGCTGTGTTCTTTCTGCTCTTACAAACACAGTATGGTGTTGGGAGCATTTGGAGTCCTGGCCTCCAGCTGCTCTTCCCTGCTAGAGATCTTTACTTTCCTTCTGATTTGAGTTCCTGAAAGCTGTGTCAAAGTTGTTTACCAGCTCTGCTTCACGAGCACGGGTTGCCTTGGCCTTGAGGATCAGAGGATAAGGTTTTCACCTGTTGGCCCACCTGACTGTTGGGTGTATAAGCCTCCGTGGTGCTCTTGAATAAAGGGCTTCTTACCAGTGACTAGAGATCTGTTTCTCTGTCTCTCTGTCTCTGTGTTTCTGTGTTTCTGTGTGAGTCTTTGTATGTTTCAACCTCCAGCCCCTTGCCTGAAGCTCATGAACTGTACGGTAGCGCATAGAGCACAGACAGGCGGTGTGCGCAGGCAGCAGTATGGTTTAATCACTGAAAACAAAGACTTTTAGTATGTACCTTCATCCTCCCTACCATGAAGTATCATATTAGGATATCTTTGAAAGGGATTGTGGGGCTGGAGAGATGGCTCAGAGGTTAAGAGCGTTGTCTGCTCTCCCAAAGGTCCTGAATTCAATTTCCAGCAACCACATGGTGGCTCACAACCATCTGTAATGGGGTCTGGTGCCCTCTTCTGGCCTGCAGGCATACACACAGACAGAATATTGTATATATAATAAAAATTTTTTTAAAAAAGAAAGGGATTGTGTTGGACAATTTGCAAACACATCCTCCTCAAAAGCAAATTTGTGTTTTTTCCTTAATAGGTGATAAAGTTATATGCATACCAAAGGATTTTTAATTAAATCTTGTTATTTGTGCATATTTTATTTTCCTGTATAACATTTTTCAAGCAAAAAGTGGTCATGATGGAAAAAGTTTTAAGAATTAGATCAATTGATAAAATGCTTGTTTTGGAGCCATGTAGACATGAGTAGGAGCCCCAAAACCCATGTCAACAAAATTGTGTGTGGCGGTGTGGGCTGAGAAAGGGGAGACGGCAGATCCTGGAGCCAGCTGCCTCACCAGCCTAGCATGCGTGCCACGTTCCAGGCTTTATCTCAGAACAGACAAACAAGCCAGGCGGTGGTGGCGCACGCCTTTAATCCCAGCACTCTGGAGGCAGAGGCAGGCGGATCTCTATGAGTTCGAGACCAGCCTGGTCTACAAGAGCTAGTTCCAGGACAGGCTCCAAAAACCACAGAGGAACCCTGTCTCGAAAAACCAAAAAAAAAAAAAAAAAAAAAAAAAGAACAGACAAACAAAACAACAGCAACAAAACACACACAAAGTGGATGGCCCCTGAGACCTGAACACAGACACACAAACCTCTCGTGTCTATGTCCGTTTTGTTCATCTGTGGGTGAGCACGTAGATTGCCTTCTCGTGGCTCGCTCTTCAAGGCACATTCTCAGACAAATAAGTACAAGCTTTTCCTTCTGATGAGCCTTTGGTGACCCTGGGAGTAACTTTGGAGAAGCCGCCAATTGTTTTCAGTTTAAAATGCGAGCCGCTTGGGATGGAAGCGCCCAGCACTGCTACAGGGGTGATGGGCATCCTTTGGAGAAGGAGATCGAAGCCACCTGGGCTCTGACTGGCCTTCGGGGGGGTGCCCTTTATGGCTCTCCCTGGGGCTGACTGTGGTCAGATGTGCTTGTGAGCCAAAGGCCTTTCCTCACTCCAGAGCTGCCCCGCTTCTCAGGGGAAGAACTGCCACAGAGAAGTCATTCTCCAGACTTCGCAAGAGGTCATGATGTGTGTGGACATTTCTGGTTCCGTTCATAGGACTTGAACTCCAAACGTGATTGGCATAAGGACCGAAGGAAAAGCCAGGAAGTTTCACTGGGAAGGCAGAATGTGGGAGGACATCAACACCACAGTGCCCAACACCACAGCCCAGAGCGACAGAACAGCTTAGATCAAGCCAAGCTTGGCCGGGACAGGGAGCAGGTGACAGGGTCAGCTGGGAGTTGTTTTAGCATATTTTTTTCCTTTAAAAAAAAATATTTATTTATGAGTGCTCTTTCTGCATGTGTGCCCGCATGCCACAAGAGGGCACAGATCCCGCTATAGGTGATTGTGAGTCCTTGGTTCAGAGCCCCAGGAAGAACAGCCAATGCTCTTAACCACTGAGTCGTCTCTCCAACCTTGCTTTAGAACCTTAAGGACTGGGTTCGGATTTCAGTTTTTCTCCTTCTAGTTGGAGCAGAGCTTACTTTTCCTCAAATTCACTTTTTTTTTCACTTGTAAAATAGGGGCATTATTGATATTGGATGAAATTATTTGGATAAAATAAATTTATAGAGGTGAGATGACTCTCACAATATCACAGGGCCTGCTCTTCATCGGTTCTGAGAACAAACTCCCAGGATCCTGCTAAATTGGGCAAGTTCGGGCTCCATGCTCAGTTGGATTTGCAAGTCTCTGGGTGCAATCCCAAACATCCTTCCAAAAAGGCCTTTCTAACAAAAACCATTTAAGAAACTTTTCTCCTCCTCCTGATATCAAAAATCTACTTTAAATCATGAGGGGTTTTTTGGTATTATTTGCATATTGATGGGCCTAAGATTACCTTTGGGCCAGGGAAATGGGTTTGCAGGTAAAAGTTATTATGGCTGCACAAACCTAAAGACCTAAATTCAGTCTTAGAACCCATGTTAGGAGCTGGAGCTGGCTGGGTGCATCTGTGACACCAGCACTGGTGGGGTGGGAAGTGTCAAGAGAAGACTCTGCCCCCCACCCCTATCCCTGGAAGCTTGCTTTGAGTATGTAACACAGCAGCAGAAATAACAAGAGAAACTCTGCCTCAAATGAAGGGGAAGATGAGGACCAGTCCCTAAAAGTTGTTCTCTGTTTCTTCCATGTGTCAAGCACACACACACACACACACACACACACACACACACACACACACACTTTTCCTCTGTGTCCACATCAAATGCTTTGTCTTTGGGGGATCTGGTAGGCAGGTTTTCTTAATAGGTATGAAGCCATGTGTCTAAGTAAAGGATTCTCTATGCTTTAAAAATAATAATTAACAGGGCTGGAGAAATGACTCAGGGGTTAAGAACACTGGCTGCTCTTCCAGAGGACCTGGGTTTAGTTCCCAGGTTCTACATGGTGGCTCACAACCATCTGTAATTCTAGATCCAGGGCATCAGATGCCCTCTTCTGACCTTCATGGGCACCAGGCATGTATGTGGCATACAGACATACATGCAAACAAAACACCTACACATGTACAATCTTTAAAGAAAAGAAAACAAAAAACAAAAACAATTAACAATGATAATACAAGAGAAAACCTTCAGCATCCAAGCAAAACTCTCCAGGCAGTCACTTAAAAAAGAACTCTTTTTTTAAAGGCTCACTTTTATTTACTACAAAGGGTTCACTCTTTAAGAAGACCCATGGGGTTGGAAGAGAAGCAAAGGGGAAATACGTCAAGACCATAGCCTGTAAACAGAGACCACTACTATTAATAGGACGTGTAGAACACTGCGCGTTTGGTAAGTGTGGAAGTATTAAAGAACTTCCTCTTTCCCAGTGCTGGTTGGGGCTGGGGCAGAGGTAGGTTCAGCCTTCTGCTCATCCTTGCTGATGTAACTCAATGAGCCGACCTGCAAACACAGCCAGTGTCCCGATGAGACACACCAGCATAAAGACTCCAAGGAGAATGTGGTCCATCACCATGGCAACATACTTCCATTCCTCTGATGCCTGGGAGGGAAAAGAGCATGAGACAGGAATCCCTTAAGATGGGACACAGGCTCATAGCATCCCCGACTGGCCTGGCCTTCAGTATGTAAATCTCCAAGCCTTAACACTTGAGGCTGATATTTTGATCTTTAGATTTTGTGGAATTGTTTTCCACCAAAGTGAGTTACTAGAATGGCCTAGAAGCAGTCAGCACAGCACTTCTGAGGACAGTAACTGGAGGTTGAAGCCGATTCATTGGTCATGCCAAACCCACCTGTCACACTCGTGCATTTGATTATTTAAGCCCCGAGGTGTGAACTGGAAAGCTTACATTATTGGACTCCTGGTCTAACTTCATGGTCTCCGCGATGTACTTAACACCCTCGATGGCACTTTTCACCTCTGGGTGCCTGATCAGGGGAGAGTGGAAGCCCACAGGTGGAGGCCCCGGCTTCCCGGAAATGTCAGAGATGTCTATGTCTTCTGTAAAAATCTTTTTCTCTTGCTTATCTCTGGATGGTCTTTTCATTGTGGAGAAAAACATAACGTTTGGGATAGTGTCGATAAAAACCTAACATAAAGAAGAGATCCACGGCATGAGACTTCTTGTCAACATTTCAAGAACCACCATCTTTGAGTTAGAAGTGTAATCTTGCACAAATCACTCAGCATCTCCAGACCTCACCCTCCCTGTCCTTAAAACCGAAAGATTGCACTACAGGTCAAGAACAATACGTCTCCTGGCTGTAGTCTACAGCTATGATTCTGTAATGTGAGCAGCTTGCCACTGGAGGGAGCCTTTGTGCAGGCACCTCCGCTGCATTACCAGACTCTGCAGTCAACAGAAAGTGTGTTCCCAGGAGCCTAGATTATAGACCGGTCCTGCAGCCTTAAGCATGTAAATGTTTAGCCCACAGAATAGAATAACTTGACTGTTTTCTTCTGCGTTTTGTTCCTGATGTTACACATGACAGAATTATCTAACAGGGACAAGTTGGTGTCCTCCAGAAAGCCTACACAGTGAGCCACGATTACTGATACAGTTAAGTGTCTGTATGACGCTTATAAAAAGTGGGCATATTTGGCTCAGTGGTCCAGTGCTTGTCAAGAATGTTCGGGGCCCTGAGTTCCATCCCCAGCATGATTACAAAATTAATTGATTGAAATAAAAAGACACATGGGAGGTATAACACATGTTCAGTTCCACAATAGAAATATTTGCGAGCACACACTCTCGTCAGGGCTCTCCTCTCTCTCTCCTCCTTATTCTATTCTCAACTGATGAGAAGTTGAGTTCTCAACAGATGAGAAACACACCAGTACAAATCTTAAGAATGTCCTTGCCTGGCGTGGTGGCCCACACCTTTAATCCCAGGACTCATGAGACAGAGACAGGTAGATCTCTGTAAATCTGGGAACAACCTGGTCTACAGAGTGAGTTCCAGGGCCACTGGGACTACACAGAAAAATCCTGTCTTGAAAAACCAAAACCAATCAACAAAACAAACAAAATAAAAAAAAAAAAGAATGTCCAAGCGATAAGACAGGGGTCTATTCATTTCTAATCAGAGATTTCATAAGGTTGAGCAGGCTTTATCCATTTACTCTTCTCTGTCCAGGAAGGCTACCTGTACCCACAAAAACTGCTCCAAGTTCCTAAGTCCAAGAGGGACTTTCAGTCCTACATATTGTCGTTGGTCCCTCAACACTCACCTTCCGCACCCACTCAGGCATGATGTGTGTGCTGGGCGAGCGGTGGTGTGTATTGATGACAATGACGGTGATGATGATGGATGCAATGACGAACACCATGGTGAACAGCATGTACTTCCCGATCAAAGGCACGGCACTGGAGGTGGACGGGATCAGCTCCACAATGACCAGAAGGAACACAGTGAGGGACAGCAAGACAGAGATACTCAGCGTCATCTTCTCCCCTAAAAAGACAAAAGGAAGAAATGCTACAACCATCCCTTCCTGGAACCCCAAGACTTCAAGAGTGTGGGCTGTGCTTGGATAGGAGACCATTAAGGAGATAATTAAGGCAAAACGAGAGTGGGGAGGGGGATTATTGGCGTCACAGCAAGGGGTACTGTGGACATGGATCCGCACAGGGAGGACCATGTGAGAACATGGAGAAGGTGGCCTCTGATAGGCTGGGAGATTGGCCTGAGATGGACGAAGCCCATTGGCTCCCTGCTCTCAGTTTGAGTTTTCAGAGCTAAGAAGACAGAAGCTGGTATTGTTTAGAACACCCCATCTGTGAATTCCCATCAAGGCCGTTCTTGTACCCTCATCTGCCACCAAAGTCCAAGGTGAAGAAACATGGCCGGCATGCTCTCAAGGGTTAATTTGGGGACTTCTTTCCTGTGTGACCGCAGCGTCTTAACTCTACTGACAGCGTCGAGCAGCCGGTGTTTCCACTCCATCTTGCCAAGCAGTGAATTTCATGGCCTAAACTCTTCTTTTTTGTTGGGACTCAGGAAAACAGGGGGGATTCTGGGCTGGCAAGCTAGACAAAGGTGGGAGTGGGGCTGAACTTCAGGACTAGTTCTCTTGTTAGCCAGCAGGTGGCTGGGCAGCCCAGAAACACACTTCTCTCAGTATGAAGCAAGCTGCAAGGCCAAACTGAAAAAGAGACCAAATCTGCCAATGAGGAGCTGTCTTCAGGATGCCCTGGGGACTCTGAACCCCTGCCTCCTCTCACTCTTGTCTAGAAAGTTTGACTTTCACACATTTCTCGGTTTGTTTTATTTTTCATAGTAAGGATCCCCTTAAGTCCCTGTCTTTTTCCTGCAGGCCCGAGTCTCAGAAGTCCTGGCTGAGCAGGCAGCAAGAAGGGTGGTGGGGTGCTATAGAGAACCTTGGGCTGCTCTTGTTGGGGTCCCTGGGGGGTCTCTCCTATTGCCCTGCCTGCTGTTACTGTAGTCTTCTTCATATGTGGTCTTCCAGATGGTAGGTGGACAGTCAGCCTTCTGTACCTGCAGATTTTGCAAGGATTCAATCAAACTCAGATTGGAGAGATTCAGGAAAATTGAACCGTATCTATACTGCACATATGCAGGCTTTTCTGCCACTGTCTTCCAGACAATGCAGCATGGTAACTATTTGTGTAGCCTTTACAGCTTATCAGAAAATAATTTTAAGTCTCAAAGGTTGTGCAGAAATTCCATGTGACTACGATGCCATTTTATATGAGGGACTTGAGCATCCTTGGATTCCAGGACCTGCGGGCATCCTAGAACGGGTTCCCTGTGACTCCTGAGGAGCGACTAAATAAGGAAGACACAGAGTAAAACAGGGAATCCTCAGTTTTGCCCCCAAGAAGTTAGAATTATAAATATTAAGTTACTATTATTTACCATTTCTTATCTAGTTATACAATTTAGTTATGTACTAAGTAATCATAACTCTTCTGTTATACGGTCATAATTCAGCATTTATAGATGCTAATTAGTTTGCATATTGCTTTGTCAGCGTTTTTCTACTTGCTTTCAGAAGTTTCATTTGTTTGGGAAGCTGGAAATATTTATTTGCACTTACTTGTTCAGAAAGAAATATGGGAGGCAAGAGAGAGGGCTCAGCAGTCAAGAGCGCTGGCTGCTCCGTCCCGGCACCAACATTAAAACTCACAACCATCTAGAACTCCGGTTCCAGGGGAACGGATGTTCTCTTTTGGCCATTAGCATCAGGCACACACATGTAGCATACAGACACACATGTAGGCATAATACTCACACACATAAAAATAAATAAGTAGAAATACGGGGGTGTGCTGTGTGGTGGTGGCACACGCCTTTAATCCCAGCACTCGGGAGGCAGAGGCAGGTGGATCTCTGTGAGTTCGAGGCCAGCCTGGTCTATACAGGGAGTTCCAGGACAGGCTCCAAAGCTATAAGGATGTGTGGGGCTGGAGAGATGGCTGAATGGTCAAGAGCACTTGTTGCTCTTCCAGGGAACCTGAGTTCGGTTCCTGCTATGAGCTCTAACTGGTATCACACAGCCACTTGGTGACTGTCCGTCTGTACCCTGCCCACAGCAACAACGAACTGGGTCCCTGTGCCTCTGTTAGCACACAGTTATTCCTGGCTCCCCCTAAAATAGCAGTGCAAGCTCCATAGCAGCTGTAGTCATGGCAACCGTGCTCACCTGAGTCTGTGGGCAGGTAGAACACCAGGCTGGTTAGGAAGGAGAAGAGCAGGCAGGGAATGATGACGTTGACGATGAAGTAGAGGGGCAGGCGCTGCATGACGAAGTGGTAGGTGATGTCCAGGTATGGGGTGTTGGGGCAGCAGGAGTAAAACACCCAGTGCTTCCAGCCCCTGGCTTCCTTGATCACCCACTCCCCGCTCTCCATGAAGTTACTCAGGTCTGGCTGGTCACTTTCCTGAGAAACAAAGCAAGGTTTGCAGAGCCCTGCTCCATCACCCCGAGGAGGGGCAGTGACAAGGCAGCCATATCCCATTCGGAGGGTCACTTCTCTAAGAGTGATGCTGGGCCCCTGTTTCGGGGTAATAGCTTTATTTCCTATAGCATGTGTTATATGATAAGTTAGGGTTATTCATTTTGGCTCTACAAATCTCAAATCTCCGTGAAACTTTAAAATGCTGATCCTGGGGATGGAGAGATGGCTCAGAGGTTAAGAACACTGGCTGCTCTTCCAGAGGACCCAAGTTAAATTTCTAGCAACCACATGGGTGCTCAAAACCATCTGTAATGAGTCCTGACACCCTCTTCTGGTCTTCAGTCAGACATTCAAGCAGAACGCTACATACATAATAAACAAACAAACACATAATAAATAAATAAATAAATAAATAAACAAATAAATGTCCTGAGTCCCGCTTGACTCATTCATCAGAATTCTTGAGACAACACACAGTAAAGGGAATTCTTACTTAGTTCTTGGGGCATCAGGAACCTTGACACTCAGTTGAAAGCCATACAACTAGATGCATCTCTAGCTGAGAGGAGGGCCTGGAGCTTATCGTTGGCCCCCAAGCACTTATCTTACCACACTGATGATCTGGATCAGCTGGAGGCCCACCCTGGATACGTGGGTGGTCCTATTCTTGAAACCCGCTTCATCCCTGGAGGCCAACACCTTCCGGGTTGATGGCCACTACCTACCGGGTTGATGGCCACCACCTACCGGGTTGATGGCCACTACAGAGCCATCATAGGTCCAGGTGCCCAGCTTCATGCTGCAGTTCTGCTCATCGAAGGGAAAATGGGTGACAATGATCTCACAGTAGCTTTTGTAGATGGCTGGAGGCGTCCAGGTGATGTGGCCGGTGTAGTCCAGGAGCACCTTGGTGAATTTGACAATGGCAAAGTCGCCATCTGCACTACGGTTGGAATGAGAGAGAAAAATGGCTCCAATCTTGCCTTCTAGTCTACTGCAGGGCTCCCTAAATTTCTCTTATAAGAAGCCACCCTGGAGTAATGGTCAAAAACCCCACATTCTTAAGTACTAACCAGGTACTTAAGTGATTACACCGCTCCAGCGGCTGGGATTAAGACAGTCTGGGCTACATAGGACGACCTACTCTCTCTCAGTCAGTCAATGAACCAATGAAAGAAAGAATACAGATTCCTGAGCACTGAGCAAGCCCCAATTCAGATATCAAAGGAAGAACGTAGGAATCTACAGGCTTCGGGGACCAACAGGTGACATGGACCCCTTGCACCTCAGTTCTCCTTTCCAGCCCCCAGAGACCCTCGCAATGTGAGCCCCCATCTGCGCACTTTGAGAGTCGACTGGAAAATCTGGAAACTTAAAACACTCCTAGTAGCTGAACACTGTGGGGGAGGACTGTGCCCTCCTGACGGTTGTTCAGAACTTGGTGGGCGGGACACAAACTCAGATGCCTTCTGGCCAGTAGGGGAGGGGCCGTTGGAGCTGAGAGAGAAGGGCACAGAGCCCCCAGCAATCCAAGCGAGCGAGGCCTTCAGCCCCAGGTTACCCAGGGAAGCCATGGGAGTCTGAAGACCCAGCGTGGCCACATAGCTGGATCCCTTCTCAGAAGCTGAAAACGTAGGTCTTTAAAAATATCAAAACGTCCATTTCCTCTAGTTCTGAGGATTCTGTATAAGGATTTCACGGATCAGACAAATCCTCTGCCACTAAGCTGCATTCCCCCCAGCCGTTTTTTTTAGCCATGGAGGTGCCCCTTATGGAACTGTGGAGAGAAAGAGAGCTCCCTGGGTTCTCACGGAAGAGAAGGCTCTGCTTCCATCAGCATCTCTGTACAGAAGCGCACCGCCTTCAGTGGAGGAATTTGGGTCAAGCTGGAATCCCAGCTATAGCTGGGCGGGGTGTGGTAGATGCTGGGAGGGCCGCCAGAGGGCATCATTTTCCTCCACCGCCCCCACCGGGAAATCAGCGGTGTGTGTGGGAGCAGGCTGCAAATCCTCTAGCTGACTGCGCATGCTCCTGCTCCTGCCTTGGAAGGATGCTCTTTGAAATGAATATTCCCTGACAAATGAAGGGCATATGATAATGAACGTGTCATTAAGCCAAGTGTCTTGAATCGCATTATAATTTCTCTGTGGCAGGGCCCCATGGATGGCAACCTAGGCATCCGGGTATTACTGCTGGGATGGCATTCAAGACGTGATGAATAAGACCCCCTGGGAGTTGAGACCCATTTGGTGGCGGGGGCGGCGGGGGTGGGTATTTGATTCCAAGAAACTCAGAGACGGAAGTCCAGGTGATTCGGATGGCTGCCACACGCCCCACTGCGGCTCTCCGGGATTAATGTCCCCACCCACAGCCCTGATTCAATTTGGCTCCCATAATTGTTTCTATTCATAACATGGGACGCCATATGGCACCCCTCGCCTGTCAACGTGGCTCTGATTTTAAGGGTTATTTAATGCAAACGGTGGGGAAACGCAGGTGGCAGTTTCTCTGAGGGGACACTTGGCGCACCCTTCATGGCTTTGCTTACTTGTTATAGAGAACGACGTCCGGCCGCCAGATCTTTTCCGAGGGGACGTGGATTTTTTTCACCCCGCCGTAGTCGTCTGGATTCCATTTCAAGTTGCAATCTACCCATTGCTAGAAAGGGAGACATGTCCCTAATTAGACCGCGGAACCAGCGTCCTATCTAGAGAGATTCAGAGTCCCGATGGACCCGCAAGCTTTAGGAACGCCATGCCACAGGCTGAGTTCCGTTTCGGTGGAATTCACTCTTGCTAGCGCTAGCCCGTAATTCAGACGGGCCCCTAGTTGTATCATTACAAAGAAACAAAGTTAAAACCAGTTCATTAGGTAAGCCCCAGTCCAATGGCCTTATAAAAAGAGGAAATTTAAACACAAACACACACACCAAATTCAGAGAGCGAATGTGTTAGCGAACATAACAACAAGCCTCGTAGAAACTTCTGAAATAGATTCCCCCTCTGTCCTCGGAAGGAAGCAACTCCAATGACACATTGACTTTGGAACATCTGGAACATCTGCCTCCAGAACAGCGCAATGATAAATCCCTGTTGTTGAAGCCCTCTAGTTTGTATTCCTTGGCTACAGCCTCCCTAGCAGATGAACCCACACAGAGACCAACAAACACAAAGAGAAAACTCAAATCAAACAGGACATTAGGATATGCCAGGTATATATGCTCCCCGCGTCCTGAGGGACCCACTTCCAACATTTTTGTATTCGATCCTCTTTCCTAGATTGATTTCATCCGGGCCCAGGTTTGATTTTAGGTGAATAAGAGCAACATAAAGGCAGTTACCCGGTTGCGTTACCTGTTTCAGACGGATGTTGGTGGTCACAATCTGATTGACTTCATCCTGTAAACAAGGAAGCCCCCTCTTTAGGGAATGTACAGGGAAGCTAAGGGGAGAGAATCCAGTGTGAGGGTGGGTGCCACACGGTGGGTGCCACAGGGAACCCCCAGCACCCATCTTACCACATTGATGAGCTGGATCAGCTGTAGGCCCACGGTGACCTGGACAATCTCCCGGTGGTCCTCCACCGGCCGTACCACACTGCTGTAGTCTTTAAATAGCTTTGCCACCAGACGCGTCTCATGCTCGGAGCCCAGAACCAGGCCAGCTGGGCAGCAAAGGACACATATCTTGTCAGATACTGTTTCCCAGCTTGTACATTCTCGCCAGGGCTAGGGGCATAGCTGGGTAATGAAGGGCACACAGAGCCCCTGTCAAAGGCAGCGCCCCCTCCCAAACACAGCTGCCGGTGTGGTCCCTTACCCAGAAACAGTTGGGTGGGATAACACATGCTCTTTCGATAGGTGACCTTACTTAATGCAGCCCCTGGCCATATCACGTTTTCCAGGAGACCACACAGAAAACACACACACACACACACACACACACACACACACACACGAAGGCTAGCATGGGCGTTTTAGAGTCTGGATATGGTCTAAGACAACCTTGGACTGACTGGCCTCCTATTTCAGGATGCTAAGGACAGTATAAAGTGGGTGCAGGTTTACAACCTCCAGGCTGGCCACAGGGAACTAAAAGGAAAGTACTAAGTGTTGGCAAAGTTATAGAAAACTCGAGACCTCACATACTGTTGGTGAGAATATGGTATTTTGAGGTCCTCAACAATCTAAACCCGGAGTTGCTATATGATCCAGCAAGTTCACTCCTGAGTGTACACCCAAAGAACAACCAAACTACGTGTTATACTCAGATGGTGGAAACAGTCCCACGTGTCTTTAACAGATAAAGGGATGGATAAATTCTGGTACAAAGAGTGGAATATTATTAAATCATAAGAAGGGTATGAAGTGAAGATACTGTTGCAACATGGATACACCTTAAAAACATTCAGCTAGTGCAAACAGGTGTCAAGGGTATTGCTGATGGGACATCTGGACCGGTAAATTCATGGTGGTGGAAAGACAACTGGGAGAACAGGGCCACTTAATGGTGCCGGGGTGTCCTCTAGAGACAACCAAAGAGTTCCAGAGCTAGGCAATAATGATAATATTGAACTGAGCTGTGCACTTTAAATGCTGAAACAGTCCAGTTTACACATGCATGTTTTACCTGAGTTTTCACAGAGCGCTGCTGGTAGAGCCGTGTGCCAATTAAAACAGAGGGAAAACTAGATCACAAACAAAACCCCTGTGCTTTGATGTCTCGGGTTAAGACTTCTACTTAGAACACAGTTCTGTATGTCCTATTTCTGATGTGTGATTTACCTCTGTATGCTGTTATTACCATTGATAAATAAAGGAACTGCTTTAAGCCTATAGCAGAACAGGACAGAACAAAAGTAGGCGGGGGAAAAACTAAACTGAATGCTGGGAGAAAGAAGGGCAGAGTCAGAGAGAAACCATGTAGTCCTGCTGGAGAGGGGCGCCAGACCTTTAGCCACAACCTCCAGTTCAACAAGGAGGCAGGGTTTGTGGTACACAGTCGGGACAAGGTAGCGATCTCAGTGGGAACAGCTCCATGGGGAGCAGTCTTCAGGCCAGTAGGGAGAAAACGATGGTAGACATTTCTGCACACACGTTCACATTCACACATGCACCAGAGGGAGGCTTTGCCATCTCGCTCTAAGCCTTGCCCTAGGGAAGCTTTCCTCTTCCTCCACAAGTCTGAGGCTCTGGGATGTCTGGCACGGTCCTGCCTGAGTCAACAGCACACATTCACCCAGGACTTCACCCACTCAGGGTGAAGTCTTCACCTCCCACAGACTACACATGGGAAATCAACACGGGAAACTTTAAGTTTGACCAAAATACATAGCACACCCTTCTCTGAGCAGCTGCATCTGAATTTGTTGTCCTGAGAGAGCTTGTAGGTATTTTTTTAGAAGCATGGCACTTGCAGATTTTCACTAAGGGGGCTGAAGAGATGGCTCAGAAGTTAAAAGCACTTGCTGCTCTTGCAGGGGACCTAATTTGTTCCCAGTGCCCACAGGGTGGCTCGTAAGTATGTGTGATTCCAGTTCCAAGGACTCTGATGCTCTCTTCTGACCTCTGTAGTCACTAGGAACATGTGGTACACATCCATGTTGGTAAAACATTCAGACATACAAAATTTTTTTTAAAAAAATCTTTTAAATCTTTTAAAAATGAATTTTCCCTGAGTGTGGTGTTTGCAAACACACACATACTGAACCCGATTTGGTTGGCTCAGTTTCAAATTCCACAGGCTTTAATTGATCTGAGTTTAGATATTTTCCCTAAGTTTGCTATTGAAAGTGAGTATGTATTTGCACAAGCTCTTCGCCCTTGCCTGGAAGGCCTGTGTTGATTAGAGCCGTTTAGAGAAGGGAGCTGCGGGCCCTTGGCCTCCTTGCTGGTTGGCAGGATGATGTCATCAGGAAACATGCATAGGAAGTAATCAACACGCATCTCCTGTTTCCCTCTACCGGAAGTCTGGGTCTCGGATACTGTTTCAGCTGCTGGGATGTGACACATTCCAGAGCAGAGAGGAGGTCAAGGGCTGTGCAAGGTTTCATAAGTCCAACTCAAACGAAAGCCGACATATTAGTGAGGTCCTTAAAGAAGGGGGTGGGGCGAGAGGGCGGCAGCTGCGCCTTTATATGGACTTAAAAAAAACCTCTGAAGTTGGAAAAAAAAATGACAAAACCTGTTCTCTGTAGAGACAGTTTAAACCTACACTGATGAACAGGTTTCCCTTCCCGGCACCTGTAGCTGCCAATCAATTCCCTTCATTCTCAGACAGCTTCTAGAGCCACAAAAGTCCCGTGAATGTCGTTATTTGTGACGCTGCATTGTTGGTGAGTTCCAACACGCCATCACCTACAGAAGTTCACACCTCAAACCATGCGATCAAGTTACCAAAAAAAAAAAGTAAAACAATAAAATAATCAAAAATAAATAAATAAGACTTAAGTAAGTTTATGATTTTGTATTGGGACACGTTCCTAGGTATCTTTGAGCACACGCAACCCTCAGGTTGTGTGTTGCGCATGCCTGCTAGGGGGTTGAATGTGAAGGCAGTGCCCATTGTCTACCGGTGGCCCAGACCATACAAGTAATGCCAGGATGTTCACGTAGCTGTGTCTGGGACCAGGCAATAATAGAGCAACCAGGATATTTTGCTCGTGGCCTCTGACTAAACAGCTCCCACTTTAACCAGGTAAACAAGCTAAAAATCCAGGAGTCCCCTTGAACCAATGTCTAGAAATGACTGGTCGCGAAGCCTGTGGATGGTGTGTCTGCATCCTGTGTTCCCATCAAAGAAGTAAGACTGAGGTTTGGGAGGGGGGGGGGAGTTAGCACTTCAGACACAAAGCAGGGACCCCATCCCCAGGAGCACTTACCGGAGCAGAGGCCTAGCAGAAGGAGGAACGCTGGGAGCTCCATGGGCTGTGGGCACTGGTGTGGCCTCCAGCAGCCAGCTGCCTGCCCTGCGCCCTGGCACTCTGTCTGGAGCTCAGCTGCTGGCGCTGGAAGCCAGCTGACTCTGCGGCTATTGCCTTACACCACCTGTGTGCGTGTGTGACAGCTGAGCTGCCCACAGCCCCAAGGCCCAGCGAGCCACTCAGGGGCCTTGGGCTGCAGTCACACCTCGCTTTAAGGGAGCATTATAGTCATGCTGGGCGTAACTACACGAACGCCCACATGTATCATGAGTTGGACACTTTGTTTGTGCTGAAGATCAATTTCTGACCCTCACACATGATAGCTAAATATAGGCAAAATAAAAATAGCAAAAAAAAAAAACCCAAAAAACAAAACTCTACCCCTGGATGACACCCCCAGCCTTACATATGGGGTTTTGAAATTACATTTATTTGCTTGTTTGCTTATCTATCTATCTATCTATCTATCTATCCATCCATCTATCTTCTATCATCTATCATCTGTCTATCTATCATCTATCTATCATCAATCTATCTTCTATCTATCTATCTATCTATCTATCGTCTATCATCTATCTATCTATTATCTATTTATCTATCTATCTATCTATCATCTATCTCTATCATCTATCTATCTATTATCTATTTATCTATCTATCTATCTTCTATCATCTATCTATCTTCTATCATCTATCATCTATCTATCTATCATCTATCTATCTATCTTCTATCATCTATCTATCTATCTATCTACCTATCTATCTATCTATCTATCTATCCATCTATCTATCTGAGGGTAGTGGTGGGTATACCCTGGTGCCTGCGTAGGTAAGATAACTATTTTCAGAGGTTGGTTTTCCTATTATGTGGGTCCTGGGGATCAAACCCAGGTCATCAGGCTTGGTGGCAAGCACCTTTCCTTGCTGAGCCATCTTGCTGGCCCAGGAGTCATTATTAACGGAAAACCTTGTGCATGAATCAGTGGAGGTCATGGGTTTGAGTGGACGCCAGTTTGTATAAGCATCCTTAATCATGCAGGTGCACACTCCCTAAACAAGAATGCAGTTCTGTGTTACAGGCAGGCTGAGCAGGCCTCCATCTTCTGCGCCTGCCCAAGTTTGGGGAGACTGGTTGCTGTTGAGTTAACGGCTGGAGATGTCCGTATATGATCATAGTGGCTTCTAGCAAAGACAGCTTTCCTGTGAATTGGTTTCCTGGGGCCCCAAGTGGCTGCCCCTCCTAGGGGCAGAACCTAGCCCACCCAGAGCTGTTAGCCGAACCCACCGCAGTTTCCTGTGTCCTATTATTACAGCAGGGCACTTTGTGGGAACAGGCGTACCGCCCCAGTGGTGTTTGTTCCAGATTTTGGCTTCCTGCTGTCCCTTCTCAATCTGCCCTCCCTTGGGGAACACAGAGGGCAGAGTAGTTCAGCTTTTCAAGCCCTTTGCTTAGAAGATCCCTAAAAACAAGATTGGCTCAGCAGTGAGCAGCTAGCAATGGTTCACTTTCAGAAAGCAGTCCTTTGATGACATCCTGCCTGTTCCCTGCACCTCCTGCTTCCTACAGGGATTGAGTCCTGAGCAAAGTCTCTCACCTTGAGCCTAAGGACAGCATCTGGTCACATCGTCCCATTCCACAGAGTCCAAACAAACAGATGAGGAACATGCAGAAGAGAGGAGAGAGCTGCAAGCCTGCTTTATGTTTTTCTGTTTAAATAATAGGATATCAGAATCTGGGAGGAA